ATTACTAGTAAAGGCTGATTAATACTTCTGCGTCGTGACCCCCATTGCATACCTTGCACATAGCCGTGCATTTATACTTCTGTTTGCTGTTTGTGTTGTTCTGCAGTAACATTTCTCAAACGCTAACTGGCAGCAGTTTTTATGTTCCTCTGTGTCAAGTTTCTTCACAGTTGTTGTTTTTTTTTTTAACACTACCTTAATGTAAACAAGTAGCTCAAACTCGGTCATTAAGAGGCGGGAGCCAGAGGACGTGCAACAACTGTAATCATCAAGTATTATTAAATGTTATCACACCGTCAGAATCCTATACCGGCCCATGCCTACTAAAAATGACTTATTGTTTAAGTCTGTTTTGTGTTTTAGTTGTGAGAAAACGAATTAATTAAATCTGTGAAGCTGCTCAACAGTGTATTCTCCATGCAGCACTGAAGTGACGTTATAACGGCATTAATGTGAGCATAAAAATGTTTCTAAGAAAATAAGTTCCTAAAGGCAATACCTAGATTTAATCATTTTATTGCTGAATTTCGTTGAATGTTGAATCTCTTAAGCTTATAGGCAAGGCAAGGCAAGCGTATGATATTTTTTTTATTAATGATTGAGGCTTTCTCTTCTTTTCTAATCGTTTGTTATAGTATTTTCTCTTCAATGCAGATGTTATTTTCTTTTATTCAATATGAAAAAAAAATGTTCTTTGGAAAAGTAACGTCTCAGTTACTTTATGAATGAAGTAACTAGTAACTGTAACGAGTTACTATGTTTCAGTAACTGGCTCAACACTGGCAGCCAATGACTACCAAAGTACATTTTTCAAGTCAATTAAATAGTGCTAATGTTGTTTTGAGTCATATTTGATGTGATTTCAGACAGAATACTCGATGTACAATAGTAAACAATATAGGGAACATGTCACAGGTTATCACTGAACGGTTGTGCGAATTTCAAACCAACTTTAACTCAATATCCTGCTTACATGCGACTTCAGACCGATTATGAAGTAATGTTAGCGTGCTACACAACATATTGACCGAGTCACAAGTTGTCACTTTGTTCAGAAACAACAAAAGTAGCCTCTTATAACGACACAGATACTATTAAGAGTTCATAAATGACATTATATTCCTGCTGAGGGCTGACAGGTCTTCTGAGTTAGGCTAAAGTTGAAGTTTGTGCTAGGCTAACTTAAGTTACAAAGAGAGCGGTTGAGGAGTCACAGCCAGGATAACGAACGAACACTTACCCAATGTGATAATAAAACTGTGGCCAATAAAAGACGGAAAATGTGGTTTCTCCCCAGCAGAAGCATCGCGGCTCAGACTCCAGAGCTCGTCTGACTCAGATCCGCGGGACAGGAGCTTTCTTATTTCCTGTTTGCAAACGCGTCCAGCTTTTCTGTGTAGAAATGAACGGGGGATACCGCCCTCTATCGGCGGAGAGTCTGAAACGCAGTCAAAGAGCTTGGAAAAACAGGGTAAGGGGATACAGCTGAGGATCCTGGCATAAAATTTGAGACACTGAACAACAATAATTACTATTTTACTTTACTTTGGGGGTAGGGGAGAGGTTAATAAAATACAATTAACTGCGTAATTTAATAAAGAATATTTGTTATAATTTTTTTTTACATTTCAGTGAGGACAATACGGATAATTTTTTAAATAATATTTCATGCAATTATTATTTTTACAGTAATCTAAGGGTTGGAGTAGGGGTAGATATTAATAAAATACAATTTAATGAGCAATTTAATAAATAATATGAATAATAGTTGGTGTAATTACTGCTTTCACAGTATGTGAGGCCTTTGTTTAGGGTTGAGGTAGGCGTAAACGTTAATAAAATACAATTTAATTGGTAATTTAACAAATTACATGAATGATATTTGGTATAATTAATGTTTTTAAATTACTGTGAGAGTTAAGGTTGGGGTAGACGTTAATAAAATACAATGTAATGGGTAATTTAATAAATAATATAAATAATAATTGATATAATTATTGTTTTTACATTACTGTTGGGGTTGGGGTAGACGTTAATAAAATACAATTAAATAAGTTATTTAATAAATAATATGAATATTTTATATGATTACTGTTTTATATTACTGCGATGGTTGGGTTTAGAGTTGAGGTAGGTGTAACGTCAATAAAATACAATTCAATTTTATAAATTGATTTAATAAAAAATTCTTCTTAACTCCCAGCCGCAGCTGTATCCCTTTTAGCAACAACTCGTAAACAGTCAATTCTCCGTCTGATGTGGTCTTATGTTGACATCTGGTGGCCCAATCCGAGAACTGCGAGTAATATGCAGATCGCTTAGCTCTTGAATATTAATTAGTAACGTGACGTTGGCTAAATTCATTAGCCAGAAGGCGAACTTAGTCAAAACACGAGACCGACTTTAGTAATATTAATGAGATTTATAAATTATGAGTATCAACAAAGTAAAATAAATAAACTGTAAACATTTATCACACTAAAGAGCTTACATCAAAATCTGAAATTGAGTATATTAATAATCTGAGTCTATTTATTTCTCAAATATCCCCCTTTATAGGAAATGTTGGTCTGACTTTTCTCATTTTATTTATGCTTCAAAATGTAAATTAGGAATTGATTTAACTATAAGGCACATAGTTTGTTACTTTTCCCATGGTAGGTATTCGTTTTATTATATATATATATATATATATATATATATATATATATATATATATATATATATTCACAAATGTAAATTGTTCTCAGTCATACAAGTTGCAGAGTTTTCATTGTGACTTTTACTGCTTAAAACAAAAAGGAAAAATTAATTACAACAAAAAGGGTGTATAAAAACTCTTTACTCTGCTTTTAATGGATTTATATAAATATATTAATTATTTTATGATCACTAATGAAGTCGAGAAACAATGTTGTAGAAACAAATTGTTAGCTGAATAAAGATTTCGTTTTTTGTTGAATTTAGTTTATTTTCTGAAGTTACTTTCTCGAATTTGTGACCTTAAAAGCATAATTTACATATTCATGAGTTCGGTCATTTCCCACATCACTACATTAATATTAATAAGTGGCGAATGTTATGACTGGAAGAGCTCGTCAGGTAGCTATATGTCTTAAATGAAGATTAATAAATGAATGGGTGCCATTTCATTATAATTTCTGTTAATTTTGTTCGTTGTCATTTATTTGTTTGTTAATTAGTTTGTTTTTATCAAACTCAGGATAATTCATTCATTCATTTAAATCTTTATTTAAATATTATTTATTTTTGTAATTGATATTAAAAGAAGTCAAGAAACGTTCAACGTTTAAAACTCATAAAGAACTTGTTTTTGTGGAAGTTACTTGATTTTCTGACATTTTGTGATCTAAAAGCATATGATTTGCATATTCATTAGTTCAGCCATTTCCAACGTGACTATATTAATATTAATGAGCAGCAAACGTTATGACTGGAAGAGCTGGTCAGGTAATCAATATGTCTTGTATAGAGTTCCAATAACAATGAATAGGTGCCATTTCATCATAATTTCTGTTAATTTTGTTTGTTGTCATTTACTTGTTTGTTAATTAGTTTGTTTTAATCAAATTCAGGATAATTCATTCATTTAAATCTTTATTTAAATATTATTTAATTTATAATCAATTTTAAATGAAGTCAAAAAACGATTGACATTGTAGAAACAAATTGTTAGCTGACACTTGTTCTTTTAGAAATCATAAAAAAATCGTTTTTGTGGAAGTTACTTTATTTTCTGACGTTACGTGCTCCTAAAAGCATATAATTTGCATATTCATGAGTTCGGTCATTTCCCGACTGACTACGTTAATATTAACGAGCGGTGAACATTATGACTGGAAGCATGAGCTCATCAGGTAGCTAATATTCATAATTCTTTTGAAAAGATAATGTTTTGAAGCTTTACTTGACAAAGTGCGCAGATGAAAGAATACTACAACTTCCATATCTATAGGCTACAAAAACATCGGTTTGTGGTCATAAAAATAGGCAATTTGCATATGTGATGAGTTCAAGTACTGTTAATGTGATTATAATGAGTGATTAAAAGAGCTTTAACGAAATTAGCATGATTAGAATGTAAAACAACTGATTGTATCACACCTCTTTAAAAAAGAGAGAAGTCTTTATTGAATTTACCTCTTATATAACAAAAGTCGAGAGGAGAAAGGGCTTTGAAAAGGAATGATGAAAGCAACATTACTTTGATTTGTGCAACTTCAGCATCATGTAGAGATCATGATATGTTTGTTCCGTCGTAAGATTCATTTCATTCATAATACAAAAGTCAAGCAGGAACTGAATTAAAGGCTGACGAACAAACAGGAATGGAATATATACGAGTGTGACCCCAATATGTGCTGTTTATGATTTACGGATAAAATACTCTTACTATATATGTGATAATGCAAACGGTCAGACGTATATTACAGTTCTGTACATGTACCAGTCGTTGCAGCTCCGTCCACACGACTACATTTCCAGCAAAACACAACCATAGACTGTATGGTAATAACAAAACGTTTCAAATTAAATGTTCATTCACAGCAGAGAGGCATTAAACAGCCTCCGAGTTCAGCTTACATAGCCTAGACGAGCCGTCAAAACTGTTCAGACACTTGAGCTACTGCTAAAATGTGCACTAAAATGTGTACACGTGTCTTTAAATAAGGTCATACTAGAATATATCAAAATAAGGGGCATTTCATTTACACAAACATATCGCAAATCTGTAGTTGAAGTTTGTGAAAGTTTGCATGTATGTAGTGGTACAGTCTAAAAATGCCCCCCCCCCAAAAGGCAAAAAAAATTCCAAAACAATAAAAAAAAAAAAAAAAAAAAATATATATATATATATATATATATATATATATATATATATATATATATATATATATATATATATAATTTATTTGCATTTTTAAACTATATATACCGTTGATTTAGAATTTTTAGCCCCCCTTTGAATTTTCCTTTTTTTTTTTTTTTTTTTTTTTTACATATTTCTTAAATTTCTTAAAATATTTCTTTGACAGAGCAAAGAAATTTTTACGGTATGTCTGATAATGTTTTTTTCTTCTGGAGAAAGTCTTATTTGTTTTATTTCGGCTGGAATGAAAGCAGTTTTAAATTTTTCTAAACACCATTTTAAGGTCAATATTATTAGCCCCTTTAAGCTATATTTTTTCGATAGTCTACAGAACAAAACATCGTTATACAATAACTTGACTAATTACCATAACCTGTGGTGCGTTTCCCCTTAATCATCGTTAGCCATCCTAAGCTCGCAAGTTCCATCGTTATAAACATAGTTGACAATTGAGGTTTCCCAAATCCGTCGCTCCAGCGATCATTCCAAACTGTGTCGCAAACTTGAGCACTCACAACCACACCTCTGGAGCTATAGTTAGAAACATAGTTCCTGGCTGTGTTCTATTCCCACTTATCCCCCCTATGCCCTATTCATTTAGAACATTCTAACATTCAAAGCTGGAATGATTAACAATAAAAAAGCATTAAGGTCGTCTCCCTTAGGTGTGATTTGCTTTCAAACAATTTTTACAGTTCAGTTTTAGCGATCTTCATGTTTACAATTGTGCTCCCTTCGCAGTGCACTTTGAAAACATTGATGACATTTTGAACACAGCCTCATGGTGAAAGCTATAGGTGACCTATTATTTAAAAACAGAATTTATGTTACGTCTCCAAAGCTTGTAAAAACAAAAAGCATACAGTACGATAATTCTTTTGATTTATAGTGGGTTACTTATTAAGTATCTGTACTGTATATGACATGGTTAGAACCTGGTTAGAACCTTCTGCAGTGGTTTACATGTGTCAAATTGTAAATAAATAAACAATATCCTACCTAATAATAATAATATAAATAATAATAATCATGGGCGAGGCAGTGGTGCAGTAGGTAGTGCTGTCGCCTCACAGCAAGAAGGTCGCTGAGTCGAACCTCGGCTCAGTTGACGTTTCTGTGTGGAGTTTGCATGTTCTCCCTGCCTTCGCGTGGGTTTCCTCCGGGTGCTCCGGATTCCCCCACAGTCCAAAGACATGTGGTACAGGTGAATTGGGTAGGCTAAATTGTCCATAGTGAATGAGTGAGTGTGTGGATGTTTCCCAGAGATGGGTTGCGGCTGGAAGGGCATCCGCTGTGTAAAAATGTGCTGGATAAGTTGGTGGTTTATTCCGCTGTGGCGACCCTGGATTAATAAAGGGACTAAGCTGACAAGAAAATGAATGAATCATAATCATCATCATTAATGTTATTAATATTTCTATTAAAGTATGTTTTTTTTCATTTCTAATACATAATAATTATTACATTTCCTTTTTTTAATTAATAGCCTCATTATTTATTTATATGATTTATGTGATATTAGAATTTGTGTTGGCTTTTGTAAGTGATTTTATGTTTTAGAATAGAATAAGTAATATTCTTAATAATATTTGTAAAGGAAACACAGGCTCTATGTGCCATTTACATAAGTTTTTGTTAATATGGAAAGAGAGTGCATGCTTTTACCAAATCTATTATTGGATTTTATTTTAAATGCATGTTTGTGTAAAACAATATAATTAGCACAAAGAAATGACGGGGTTCTTCTCTAAAGAAGTTGTTACTCCACCCCGCTTAGAGTGTCATTATGGGAGTTTTACGCTATAACTAACTTGGTTCAAGCGATGGATCTGCGACAGAAACTACGGGTTTTGGGAAACTCTCATCACTACATCGTTCTTCTCCCAAACGATGCATCGTACTATGATAGTTCAGCCGTGAGTTACGTCGTTGTTTGGGAAACGCACCCCTAGTTAGCCTAAATAACCTAGTGAAGCCTTTAAAATGTCACTTTAAGCTGTAAAGAAGTGTCTTGAAGAGTATCTAGTCAAATATTATGTACTGTCATCATGGCAAAGATAAAATAAATCAGTTATTAGAGATGAGTTATTAAACTATTATGTTTAGAAATGTGTTGAAAACATCTTCTCTCCGTTAAACAGAAATTGGGGAAAAAAATAAACAGGGGGGCGAATAATTCTGACTTCAACTCTATATTGCAGTGAAATTCACACATTTCTCCCATTCAGCTGAAGTGTCCGAACACTTTTCAGCGGCTCTGAATGAATGATTACAGAAGATGATTACACACACCACAGAGCAACACACACTGGTGTAAATTGCCGATTAAAATCATAAGCGAATGAAACCAGAAGTCCTAAAAAGGTCTTTCAGCACTTCAATGCGTCTCTACTGGCATCACGGGACTGTAGTCTACTCATGTCCTGTAGTCATCAATAGTCTCAAATTGTTCAATCCAACCGGCAGATCTGGGTTCAGAAAGGCCCATAAACAGACGTCCTTGCATCTCTCAGCTTTATTAAAGCGTCTAATTGAAAAGTGATCTGCTAGTGCACCTCCAGGCCCATGTACTCCTGGTTCTGCGCGGCCGGCAGGTGCCCGTTGGTGTGTGTTTTGAGCTCCAGCGGGCAGAAGTCCTGCTGGTAGTCGGGGTTGTCCATGCTGAAGAAGGGCTTTGTGGAGAGCAGCTGTGTGTGGGACGTGTTCAGATACTCCACCACTGAAGCCGGAGCCGGGCTCTTGAAGCAGTTCAGATACTCCTCTTCCGTCTCGTCCAGCGCTGGGGAGGAGTGCAGGAGGGTCCGCGGGGGTCCGTGGGGCTGCTGGTACACTGGGTTGATCATGCTGGACTCATTCTGGTTCATATATTCTGCAGATTAAAGGATGATATGGGGGGTAAGTTATTAGTAGTGACTTTAATCAGCAGTTCATTAAGATGTAAATGTGTATCTACGTGCTGAACAACCCCCCCCCCCCCCCCCTTACCCCCCAAGAGTATAAGCATCTATTAAAGCAATAGACCCGACTAAGGTCGTTTAATTAACCTATGACCTTCAAAATCTATGGAGCCCTTGAGGGACAAGATGATGGAAACCAATGTAAATGAAAGGGGGGGGGGGGTTGGTCAAACGCTTGAGGAAGTTTGTTTTTAGGTTTTAAAGGAAAAACTTTGCTCTCCCAAAAGAAATTTTAACTCTATTTTAGGGATCTAAGCACACAGTATGAATCCACTTTTGCTATTTTAAGCATGGGAAAAACAGTCTGCGCACCAAGCGCATAGTCTAAAAGTCTCATAGTCTACACAAAGTCTGCTGGAACCCGAAGCTGCCACCATTTTTTTTGTATTGTGACGGACTTCGTAGAGATGAGGAATGTCTAATGAAAATAGAGTGGGCGTGGCTTGTTTTTTCTACTGCAAGCTGGTTGGATGTAGTAAAGTAGGCATTTCATTCAGAAAGATCAGGGAAATGTTTAGGGAGAGTTATTACAATCTAACAGAGTCCTCCTTCTCACCATTTCTGTTTGTTGACTGACAGCTGTAGGGGCGTGATTAAGTATGTTAACCACGCCCAATACTTCTAACAGATGTAATCTGAGAAATTAACTGAAAACAAACAGGATTTTTAGATTTTAATTTTAGATTTACAAGGGCATGCTATATTTTTTTCTTAATGACACGCACAGATGAGTTGTTTACCACAAAAAATAGGTTATAATAGGTTTGGATTTTTCATTAGTTTTAGTTTTTTTTTCTTTTTGACTTTTTGTTTTCAAATTCAGCTAGTTTTGATGAGTTTTTAGAGGTAGATTTAATAGTGTTTTGAAATTGCTTAGTTTTAGTTTACTTTTATTAGTTTCAGTGTTGGTTTTAGTTGTTTTGTAAATACATATATTTGTTAGGTGCAAGATTCAAAATCATCAAAGTAAATATTGTATAGTAAGAACTCAACCAAAGACAGCACATATTTTTTTTGACATAAGAACACTACCATCTACCCATCCTCAAATTCAAATACAACAGCCCACAAGATAGCAGCCTTAAGACAAATATGTGTGTAAGGCTGCTTCTGAGGTTAAATACACAGTAGTGATGGGAAGTTTGGATCTTTAATGCAAACTGGATCTTTGTGGCAACCTTTTCATCTTTGAACTCATTCATTAATAAATTCATTCATTTTCTTTTCGGCTTAGTTCCTTTTTTAATCCGGGGTCGCCACAGCGGAATGAACCGCCAACTTATCCAGCAAGTTTTTACGCAGCGGATGCCCTTCCAGCCGTAACCCATCTCTGGGATGTTTGAACTCAACATATCAAAATCATTTGTAGTCAGCAATCATAATTTCAGTCAGTTAAAACATCATCTTGATCTGAAAAGTTTCTTACAATAATGTTTTGCAATCCAACTCAAGCATGATTCATTTATTTAAACTCCGTTACGTCTTTCTGTTCTGAAATAAACGTACGTTTCGCCAGATCCTCTCATTTAAGCTCTCGGTTTACCTGCGCAGCAGTTGTTTAAGTTTAGTTCAGTCACAGCAGGCTGTCATGTACTGTTTGTGTTCAGTTCACTGAATCAATCATGTGCAGTATTATCAGTTCACCCTTCTCAAATCTGATCTCTGTGTGCTGTTCTAATAACTGAATAACTCAGTATATTTTGGTTTATTTCGAGTCAGATGGGTCAGCATTGTGTGGATAAGAGCGCTTACTGGAGATGTGAATCGTTTTAAATGATTCAGTTCGATTTGGTGAACTATTTCAACCGGTTCACTTAGAAGATCCAGTTAAAAAGAACGATTAGTTCGTGATTGCGATCACTAATACAGAAATAAAACCCATTATTGGGCATAAATCTGTTAAATGATTACTTTTAAGTGTCTGCTCAGTTCATATTTAATATTGTCAGTGTTGCTGTCATGTCCAGCCATTGTTTTTTTGTTGCGGCAACAACAGCGAGGATGACTAGAGGAGGACTGGATTGATCTGGCCAATGGCATCAGGATTACAGACTCTGGTCAAACACCTGGCAGTGAGAGGTAAATAGATTTACCTCTAAAAAGCTTACAGCATGTATTAAGACATTTACAAAGACGAAAACGAAGGACGTCATTGCTATAATTTTAGTTAGTTTCAGTTAGCTTTGTATGTACACAATTCAGTTTCAGTTCAACTCTCGTTATTATTTTTTCAATTTCAATTTTTTTTTAAATTTTAGTTTTCGTTTGTTTTTGTTAACTATAATAACCTTGCCACAAAACTAACAATGTGAGGTAACTAAATGATATAGTTAGCTTTGATTTCATTCGTACTTTAAGGGTGAGTTTTAAGCGTGCAATAAACCAATCTCATCTCCATCCCAAGTGAGTTGCGGTCGAATCATGACGCACTCACTAATTTAAACGTCAGTCTTTATAAGTGGCAAGACAGAACGCCTTAGTAGTGACGAAACCGACAACCTTGTGCATGAGCAGACCATCTACAGAATGAGCCAGATTCACCCAAACTCCCTGAGGAGAAGAATATGATGAAGGAATTAGCATTTTTATATTTACGTAGACAACAATGATCTTTGATATTTTAAACCTTTAATTTTTCATATTCAACGATATTTCTGTGCTGCTGCACAACCCTGTGTGTGTAATAAGTAATGGGTATGCATGTTTTGGACTTGTCTGTCACCTATCTGCTTGCAATAGAAAAACAAGCCACACCCACTATTTTCTCATTTATTATTGCGTTACTCTAGAAACTGCATCACAATATGAAAAAAGAGGAAAAAAAAACAATCAAGAGCTTACAGTTCATGTGGACAAATTAGATATTTCATGAGAACTTTACCATATTTTTGTCCCATATCCAGATAGAGGCTGATAATATGACCTGCGATATCAGAAACTATTGAAACCCCTTGAAACCCCCTGCAGTGTGTGCTCGTACCGTTATAACCCGGCGCAGGCTGAAAGTCTCCCTCCTGAAAGCGCTCTGTGGGGTCTGGGATGTAGCGCAGGACCATGCTGTTCTCCCTCACTGGATAACCATTCTGTAGGAAAGCAGATGAGTTTGACAGTATGCATCAGATCAGTATGACAATATGAGTCACCCTTTATTCGTTTCAAACCTTTACCAGTTTCTTCTGTCGAACATTTAAAGGCTTAACTAGGTTAATTAGGTCAATTTTAAGGTAATTAGGTAAATCATTGTATAACAATGGTTTGTTCTGTAGACAATCAAAAACAAGTGCTTAAAAGAGTTAATACTATTGACCTTAAAATGGTTATAAAAATATAAGCTGCTTTTATTCTAGCCAAAATAAAACAAATAAAACTTTCTCCAGAAGTGCAAATATTATAGGAAATACTGTGAGAAATGCCTTGCTCTGTTAATCATCATTTGGGAAATATTTTAAAAGAAGAAAAATGTGAATCAATGTTGATGTCTGACTTCAGTTACTCACCCCGTTTCTACTATTACAGTTTCCAAAGCTGCTGTTCAGGCTCTGAAACAAAACAAAAAAGCACAAGCACGTCTTTAGCACCAACACTTCATGATCATAAACAGACTTGTAATATAAACCATATAAGAGCTCTATTTTTACGATCCATGCACAAAATGCAAAGCGCAGGGCGCAAACCCATTAAAGGGCATGTCTGAATCCACTTTTGCTAATTTAAGGACAGAAAAATCTGATTTGTGTCGTGGCTCATGGTCTAACAGGGTTGTGCTTATTCTCTTAATGAGTTATAGGTGTGTTTTGAGAATAAACCAATCAGAGTCTTATCTCCCATTCCCTTAAAGAGCCAGTTGCGTCGTGCTATGGTGCCTTTGCTATTTACATGGCGGACTTTGTGTAAGTGGAAAAACTGAACACTTTACTTGAGAGAAAACAGTTAAACAGAGCATCTGCAGCGCGAGAATTAGATGAGCCTGCTCATTCTTTACTTTCACTTTCACTCTCGTGGATAGGGAAACGTGTTGTACGCACAGACATCAATTAGCCTATACATAATTAATTTAGTTTATTTAGCACAAAGATTCGTTTCAAACCTATTTCTAAACTCAGTTCTAAATTCCAGCAAACGAAAAAATGAAGAAAAATAATGAAGTGTGGTCAAAAAACTATACTATGTGTGCTCTATGCTGTGCCCCATATGGTGTAAAACCTGACAGGTGGGCAAATCTAAGCTTGTTTTTAATAAAACAAATATAAATATGAAGATAATAAATAATACTGCTGATAATAATAACATTTCACAAAAGCAAATTATCATGAATAAACTGAAAAAGCCTCCCGAGATGAAGAAGGCATGCAGGCTGTGGTTTTTATATTTATGTAGGTTAGAAAATAATATGTTTTGTAATACTTTAATCCTTTAATTTTTTTTCATATGTAAAGATATTTGCATGTTGCTGTACATCCTGTGTGTATTAAGCAGTGTGTCAGCGAGGCGCACAACTAGCGTGCTCTGCGCTGGACTATAGACCTGATTTGATCTGGTCTATTGAACCGTCTATTTAAGTTCCTCAAAATTGCAACGTGCCAGCAATGCGCTGTAACACACCTCCTTTTTTAGACTAGAACACCTATGGGTGCACATATGAGTGCAAATGCATTTGCTATTTAAACAGCATGGTGCAAAACGTCAAAACCACTCTTGCGCCAAGCTGAAACTAGCAAATAACAATAACGATGCGCCTTGCGCCGCATTGCGCCGGGTGTATGATAGGACCCTTAATATTATTATGAAATGTATTTTCCAGTTATTTGATAAACAGTGCAAGTACTGGAAGCTTGATTTAACTTTATTAGCATGTCTAATAATGAATGAATAAAGTACCAATTCTAAACCCCAACTCATTCATTCACTCATTTTCTTTTCAGCCAAGTCCCGTATTAATCAGGGGTCACCACATCAGAAAAAACCACCAACTTATCCAGCACGTTTTACGGATGCCCTTCCAGCTGCAACCCATCACTGGGAAACACCCATACACTCTCATTCACACACATATATTTATTGGATACAAAAAAAGAAAAACTGACCTAGTTAATAAAATCTTAAAATCTATATTAATTCTAAACCCAGTGGGGGTTTAGTGGACCAAGCGTTGGCGCAGTAAGGGTCGGCGCCTCCATAGAGGTGACCTAGGTGGCTGCCTAGGGCGGCAGAATAGAGAGGGCAGCGTCCCCGACACTACCCTCACCACCCGCGCCCTCAGTTTTATCCACGACTAGGGCGGCAGAAAAGAGAGGGCGGCGTCCGGGACACTACCCTCACCACCTGCGCCCTCAGTTATATCCACGTCTAGGGCGGCAGAATAGAGAGGGTGGCGTCCGGGACACTACTCTCACCACCCGCGCCCTCAGTTATATCCACGTCTAGGGCGGCAGAATAGAGAGGGCGGCGTCCGGGACACTCCCCTTACCACCCGCACCCTCAGTTATATCCTCGTCTCAGGCGGCAGAATAAAGAGGGCGGCGTCCGGGACACTACTCTGACCACCCACGCCCTCAGTTGTATCTGCGTTTAATGCGATAGAATAAAGAGGACTGCGTCCGCGACACTACCCTCACCACCCGTGCCCTCAGTTATATCCTCGTCTAGGGCGGCAGAATAAAGAGGGCGGCGTCCGGGACACTACCCTCACCACCCGCGCCTTCAGTTATATCCTCGTCTAGGGCGGCAGAATAAAAAGGGCGACGTCCGGGACACTACCCTCACCACCCGTGCCCTCAGTTATATCCTCGTCTAGGGCGGCAAAATAAAGAGGGCGACGTCCGGGACACTACCCTCACCACCTGCGCCCTCAGTTATATCCTCGTCTTGGGCGGCAGAATAAAGAGGGCGGCGTCCGGGACACTACCCTCACCACCCGCGCCGTCAGTTGTATCTGCGTCTAATGCGATAGAATACAGAGGACTGCGTCCGCGACACTACCCTCACCACCCGTGCCCTCAGTTATATCCGCATCTAGTGCAGCAGAACAGAGAGCGCAGTGTCCACGACACTACCCTCACCACCCGCGCCTTCAGTTATATCCGCATCTAGTGCAGCAGAACACAGAGGGCAGCGTCCGCGACACTACCCTCACCACCCGTGCCCTCAGTTATATCCGCATCTAGTGCAGCAGAACAGAGAGGGCAGCGTCCGCGACACTACCCTCACCACCCGTGCCCTCAGTTATATCCGCATTTAGTGCAGCAGAACAGAGAGGGCAGCGTCCGAGACACTACCCTCACCACCCGTGCCCTCAGTTATATCCGCATCTAGTGCAGCAGAACAGAGAGCGCAGTGTCCACGACACTACCCTCACCACCCGTGCCCTCAGTTATATCCACATCTAGTGCAGCAGAACAGAGAGGGCAGCGTCCACGACACTACCCTCACCACCCGTGCCCTCAGTTATATCCGCATCTAGTGCAGCAGAACAGAGAGGGCAGCGTCCACGACACTACCCTCACCACCCGTGCCCTCAGTTATATCCGCATCTAGTGCAGCAGAACAAAGAGGGCAGCGTCCACGACACTACCCTCACCACCCGTGCCCTCAGTTATATCCGCATCTAGTGCAGCAGAACAGAGAGGGCAGCGTCCACGACACTACCCTCACCACCTGGCCCTCAGTTATATCCGCACCTAGGGCAGCAGAATAGAGAGGGTTGGGGTTGAGGGCGGCGTGACCGTCCTTTGCCTAGAGCGGCAGTTCAGCTTGCTCCCGCCCTGGGCGCAGTGGGTAGCACTGCTTAATCTTATGCTAATGTTCACCATTCCATACGTCCATATCTCACATTAAAAACAAACAGCTTTTAACTAAAAGAGTTGTAATTCAATTACATAAGTTTGTGAAGCAGTTTGCAAATCTTCATTGAACTACGGAGTACAGATGCAGGAAATATATTGGTAAAGAGACAACTTGCAACAATAGTTGTCCAACAATGCAGTTGTCTAACGCACCGCTGTTAAGAAATGTATTATTTTTGGCATTATTTCTAATCTGTGTTACGTAATGGCTAATCCGTTCGGCTGACTTGTAAAAAGATGATGACTGAGAACTGAATGAATCTTTTATTCATCGCCATGTGTGCAAAACCAGCCTGTGCATGTTTGTCTGAGAACAGAAGCCATGTCTTATTGAGGCTACTGCACCATAACAAAACACGTAGCAGGTTTTCTTGTGCAAAACACGTTTATGAAGAAACAAAAGTTAAATAAGCCACCATCTGCTTGAGAAACTGCAGCCTTAAATGGCTATGCCTCGATGACTGTGTTACATAAGACTCCGTCTGAGCTCAAGGCCTTCGTTCTGCCAAAAAAAACTGAACAAGTGTTGCCCGTGAAAGCAATCAAACTTGAAAGGCTGGAGGAGTTTTGCACGCATTGAGCAAACGCTCTGATGGCTGAAGCTCATGTTGGACTGTCATTAATCTGGAGGAGGAGGTGGAGGAAGTGTAGGAGAGGCGGACGGGACAGAAGGCCAGAAGAAGAGGAAAATCAGGCCAGGTAAACAAACACGCCTCTGCAGAGTCAACTGTGAGTGAAAGCACACAGCACTGACTAGGTTTACATGGACACCAGTATGTATTTTAATTTATTTAATATTTTAAGTTTTTAAATCTGCAGATTCTTGCGCAGAAATGTGTGATTCTGTGTGCCTAAAGTTGGTGTTTGCAATGCTTTCTTCTCTGAATGAGTGTGTTTTTACCACAGAGTGCAGCAGTTGTGTGCGGGACGTGCTCGGGCTGCTGAAGAAGCTGTGATTGGGCACTAAATACTCGTCTGCGTCCACGGCCTCGTCCAGCTCTCCGCTCATCAGGCTGCGGTAGAACTTGGAGTCAGAAGGACTGGGTAAATGCATGCGGTCGTCCCCCTGCCATTAGGAAAACACCAGCCAATGATCAGAGAAAAGTTTATTCTGTAGGGAACATTGAGAAACCGAGCCTCTATCACCTGAATGACCAGATAGCGGGACGGGTCACGAGCCATTTTAGTGAACTCTGCGATGAGCTCCCTGAAGCGGGGTCTGCTCTCAGCATCAATCATCCAACCTAAGGGAAAACAGAGACGTTATAAGACTAAAGGAGATTAAACAACTCTACACTGCAGATCTTGACGGTCCAAATCCTCATATTCTCTTTTACATATGTAACAGAATAATTTTTTTGTTCCAGAGATTACAACAGATCAGGACTAGTTAAGTCTTTTCAGGACTAGTTTATTTTCTCTTTTGAAAACAACTTGTAAACGTTACTAACTCGGGTTACAATTAAAATGTTCAATGGGTTAAAAAGCAATGGGATTACTCACTTAGTTAAGTCAACTAATCGCTTTTAAAAGCAATGGGTTTACTCGCTTCAGTAAAGTCAACTTATCGCTTTAAAAGCAATGAGCTTACTCATTTAAGTAAAGTCAACTAATCGCTTTAAAAGCAATGGGTTTACTCACTTAAGTAAAGTCAACTAATCACTTTAAAAGCAATGGGTTTACTCGCTTCAGTAAAGTCAACTTATCGCTTTAAAAGCAATGAGTTTACTCACTTATTCAACTAAAGTCAATTAATCACTTGTTACAGTGTAGGAAACCTTCAAGGCAAAATTAATTCATCTACTGCAGAGCATGTTCATGAGTTTTATATGTAAAAATGTGATGAAAAAGAAAGAAAATACACTCATGACCACTCCAAATACTGTACCAAGCCACTCTTACATTTGACCATGATCATGTACACATCAATGGTGCAGATGGGGGGTTGAGGAAGTCTTTCTCCTTTTTCCAGAACTCCGGCGATTTCACTGGCAGGAATCCCATCATAAGGTTTCGTCCCAAACGTCATCAACTCCCAGACGGTCACACCTAAACAAGAGCATCGGTCGATGAATAAACAATATTCGGGCCCACTTTATATTAAGTGGCTTTAACTAATATGTATTTACAGTGAAATTATTAATCCCTTACAATGTACTTATTATGTAAATACACATTTTTAACCTCTATATTAACCTCTACTTATAATCAATCAAATAAATCAGTTTCTTTAAATTACATTTAGAATTACATTGTGGACCATCCCATACACCCTAACCCACCCTAAACCTACCCATACCACCAAACCTGTCCCTAACCTTAACTGTATCCCACCTCAAGAGCATCACAAGTGTTCAGCAATATATTATGAACACATTGAGAACACTGTATTTATACTTTCATGTAAGTACATATAAGATAAGGACACTTAATATAAAATGGGACCCAATATTCAAAACTGAGAGATCCTAAACTTAAATGAAATAATTACCATTACTTTCTACTGCAACCCTGTTCATGTTTTCTGCACATTTACTGGTGCATGTTAAAACACAAGTTAGTTTTCACAATTTAATCAGCTCCCACCAATGGATAGGTCTCTCACTGAATTTTTCACAACTGAAATGTTTGATTCATTTGTTTATTCATTCATTCTGTATATTTGAGATATGAGGTTTTTATTAAAGTTATTATTATGTAATATGTTTTTATCTATATTGATCTTACCAGAGAAGCAAAACAAACGAACTATTATAAACTTTAATGTCTGAAATGTGTAATGCCGTGAGTAAACCGCTACTAACCGTAGCTCCAGACGTCACTCTGGTGGGTGTAAGTCCTGTGCTGGATGGACTCCAGCGCCATCCATTTAATTGGAACCTGTTGAAGGATATTGATATTGATGAACACAGTACATAATATCTTAAAATGTAAAATGGTGGGTAAACAGCGATCTTAAAAAAATAAAATACATTAGAATATAATGTATAAATGGGTGATTCTAAATATGTATATATATATACACACACACACACACACACACACACACACACACACACACACACACACAACAGTTCTGTCTGGTTCTCGAATCCGATTGGCTGATAATGAGATATTTTGCCAGTAACAGCACACAAAGGCCTCTTCACCTGTGTGTATTACTCCACCCACATACAAGCAGATGACGCTCCACAGTTTGAGAAATACTCCTGCTGTTGGGCAACATAATGCACTTTTGGGGCTCGAGAATGTAGTTGTTTAGATTGCAACTATACAGTTTATTTATAAGGACTGTGCCTATTTCAAAATATTTATAATTTCTCAGTGACAGCGCGTCAGTGTCCATTAGTCAAAGATGGTTGATGTTATCTATCCACAAGATGGCGCCAGGGCCGAGTTATAAGCCTTTGCTTAGAAGATTAAAACTGCGTGTTTTCTAACTACATCTGATCAAATTATTAAACTGTAAAGTGGTATTCTAAGTTGATCTCTCTCTCCTTTGTATAGATTGCAACTATGCAGTTTATTTATAAAGACAGTGCCTTTTTTAATACAGTTACTTTCCTATCCTGGTTCTCAAAAGTGTTATTCAGAGACCTCCCCACCGAACACCCCCTCCTTATCGCGAACACAATAGCAGTCTGGTAGTGATTGCGTTGCTTTTTTCAGGGTTAATTATTGTGATATCCCGATTGCAACAGAGAAATACTGTAGACTAATAGAAGATAAGGAGATATCTCTGTAGACTGATTCATGTCAAGTTCAGCCTTATAATCTTAAAATGTCAGCAAAATCTGCTGTTTCGTCTTCACTTTATACTATAGAGAATCATTCAAATACTAGCTCTAAAGTGACGTTGGTGAACTAGTAATGGCTTCTGCTGTTTTGATGTCAGCTGCAGATGTGAATGAATGGCGGAAGAAAGTAGTTCGTAATGCAAAAGGGTTTTAGACTCTGTGTTTGATTTTCTTTTTTTTATATACACGATTGTGCCGTTGAACTGTTGTATAAATGCAATATCACACGAGTAGCAGTGCGATATGGCTGTATATCAACACTGGTGGGACGCTAAGGCAACGCACGCCTCCCACCAGTGCTGATATACAATCATCACACTGCTACTCGTGTGATACTGCTCATATATATATATATATATATATATATATATATATATATA